CCATATCAGACATTTCGTCTTCACTGTTTCCAAAAAGGTTAGTAACCGATGAATTCTGACCATTCTTAGGAATGCGATGCAGGGGGAATGCTGAATCATCAGCATAATAAACATTTCCATTTGTTATATCTCTTGAAGGGCTGTAGGCTGTGCCAACTTCTCTCGGATACTTTTCTTGAAGATTTATATCTTCATTATCTTCGTCACTATCTGATGTTTCTGATGCTTCTTCATAATCACCGTTGTTATCAGAAGGCGATTCTTTAGTTGAAGAAACTTTATGGTAGTTTAAATCCATTGAAGAAGTACCATTAACAGTTTCTTCATTGTCGTAAGATGAGGGATTTGTTGATGTGGCACCGAGCTTTTGAGTATTTAATAACCCCGGAGTTGGGGCACCCACCCTTCTCACTTTACTAATTGGTCGTATTCTTCGAGTTCCTCCGAGATTACCAATATTATACTGCCCAGAAGATGTCTTTGAAGTTGATGAAAAATTTTGTGTGGATTTACTTTTTGCCTCATCATCTCGTTCAGTATCGACACATTTTGACTCAAATTGTCCCAAATTGGAGTTGTTTGAAGCAAGCGATGGTAACTTTTGCGATGATGAGGGCAATTCATCACTTTTAGAAGATCCAGTCAAAAAATCAGATTGAGCCAAAGATTCATCTTCGTCCTTTTGATTTATTTCATCCATGTAATCAGATATAGAGAGTCTTGTGCCTGTTGCTGCGTACGGAACATAAAAAGGAGGTTGTTGCACATCTGCCACAATAGATTTACTACCACTATCATTTGATTGTTCATTATCCCATGTTGGATGAGGTACTGATGATGTTGATGTTGAAATAGACTGGATACTGCCTGAATTCTTATCACCTTCGAAATCATCCTGATATAAAAGAACTGGACTTTTATCAATTGCTTCAACATTTGATTCAATTTGTGTGTCGCCATTATTTATCTGATGGTATTCATCTTCCATCCAATCAGATTCAATATCATTCTGATTTAATCCTGGCATTTCAGTTTGTGGTGCAAGGTTTTCCACACGTAACTCGCCAGTATCTTGCATTTGATTCTGTACAGGTTCAATTTCAGGTTGTTGCATTGGCTCTAAATTCTCAAATTGTAATTGTGGCTGAAATAATGGTAAGCGCATGCCATTCTGAAAAACGAATTCCCCATCATTATTATTTCCCAGTTGTTCGGGACGGTTAGCATTTTGTTCAGGTATTGGCGCGATATTTGGTAAGCCTATTCCATTATTTTCCATTCCTTCATTTTGGATTGCATCATTTTCTAAAATGTCCAATTCATCGTTCTCTAGGCCATCTTCAGCTGGTGTATTCTGTACTATCCATTCTCTCAACATAAATACAGCCACGAACACTATTACTACAACACATGTAATGATCTGTCCTTCAAATGTGTCAGCCAAAAACTTACTGTTCAAAAAGATAAGATATTTAAGTTCTAAATTAAACCTTAATGCAAAAACCATTGCAATATAAATATTTAACTAACC